CTGTTCCATGCTTGTCCTAAGCCAATTCTTTATTCGGCGCATAGATGAAAAAGACCTTTCACAAGTACCTGAGCTTATAGGAATAGCTAATCCTACTTGAACAAGTTTAAACAAGTTTGGAAAAACATCTTCAGTCACCACTTCTTTATTCCAAGTATATATCAAAATCTAAATTTCCATTTTGTAAACAATTTTTTGTCAGCAACATTTCTGCTTTCAATGATGTTAAATCAATATTCATAACGTCCTGAAATTATATTATCCTCACATGATTATTTTATTTACAAAATTAACCTACATTACATTATTTACATTAATCACAACAATATATTATATACATGGTTGTTAGGTACCTATTTATAATTATTATGAATTCAATTAACGACCTACGGATACGGGCTAGTATAGAGATATCTATCTTTATTATCTATGTGTGTATCATGTATCATATTTGATATAATACCTAGGTATTATTATATAATTTATATTATTATTTATTATTATTATTATTATTATTATTATTATTATTATTATTATTATTATTATTATTATATATAAGTCAAATCTTAGAAATTAATTTATCCTGTTGTCTATGACATAATTATACGTGTATAATCAATAACAATTAAATGATGCTCTTGAAAATTTGGGGGTGCTAATATGAATTTTGGGGGTGCTGAGCACCCCCAAGCACCCCCCAAATTGCGCCTATGGTTATAGCGGCCACAGAAATACATAATTTGTGAAAATTTCAACTTTCTAACTTTCATGGTTCATGAGATACATCCTGGTCACAGACGGACGGACAGAGGAGCCTTAGTAATAGGGTCCCGTTTTACCGTAGGAACCCTAAAAATGCAATAAAAAGTCAGCGCTACAATTGTAGTTATAGTGTTGTTATATTTTATCGTCCGCCAAGTCGACGATTGTCTACGGCCGATAAACGACGACAAAATATATCGGAATTAGGTATATTTTTTCCTGAAGCGTAAAAACAGTTCCTATAGCTAAATATTATGATGTACACGCGTGCTGCCAAGTTGCACAAGCTGCAAACGGAGTACACTGCCATGCAATGTGAAAATCGCAAAATATTTATTTTAATCATAGGGGTGTAACCTATAATATGGTGGATAGTGTGTCCATATACCTAGAAATAACTACTAACCAGGGAGCAGATGTTTGAGAGTTTTTTTTTTTTTGAACACAATGAATAAATACATACATATACATGTACATGTTGTAAAAAATAAAAATAAAAAATATTATAATCGGTACCTACTCTAACAATATATACACGTATTCATATATATACCCATACGAGCGCATCCAATCGGAGAGTAATATTTCAAAGGGTAAAAAACTAAAAGCGAACCTATTATAATATACGATATAGTACTTACGTATATAATAATATGTGCAATATGCGTAAAGTAAAGAGCGGTCATCGTGCGAGTGTATATATCTATAATATTTTGCTGTATTATGTTTGATGCACGTGCATCATATTTATGATACCTGTATCGGCTGTATCTGTATGACTATATACTATACGGATGTAGAGTTGTAGTATAACATAATAATACTGCGGTTACCTAGGTATACGTATGAAATATTAAACAAAAAATTATAATATGATTCAAACACGTTTCGCGTTTGGTGAGCTTGCAAATCGAGTTATTATATTCAAAATGCCTATATACCTAATTCAATATCATAATACCAGATACCTAGTTATTTTTTAAACGTTTGGTTTTTGAAAAAATTCTTCGACTTAAATGTTGGTACTCGGTGGAGGGTAACTGGTAGTCAATCACCAGATGTTGGATCTTAATACATTCTAAAAATAAATGCAATTTTACCTATTATAAAGATATTATGATGGTAGAGGTAGCTGCGGTAGGCGTATAATGAAATTGAATATAATTAATTATAATGGAAGTTTCAGTACATATATAATATTGGTTAAAAAAAGTTATCTGTTAATTAATTATATGACCCGTAATAACAATATTTCAATGTTTTTGGTACACCACTATGACACAAGCCTAAGAATAAATTGTCACTTAAAAGAAAGTACCTATACTCTGTTCAAGATAAGAAATGCAAACGGAGACGACAGTTTACGTCGGCAGTAGTCTGGTAACACCCGTTTATCACTACAACCAATTCAACTGTATATACTATATATATATACCTGCCGGCTGCCTTGTAGTATTGCCACGACACTGCTAACAAGTCATCCGCCGTTTGCGTTTCTTATCTTGAACAGAGTATAGTTGGCTCTCAAAATTCAGTATTTGGTAAGAAAAAATAATGTTAGAAGTAATTAATTAAAATGCTTAAATGAATAATATTATTAATTTCTCAGTCTCAATATAGGGTTATTATTATTTTATTGAAGGTACAACAGAAAAATATCCAAAAATTAATTCGTTAAAAAAACGAAATTCAGTAGGCAAGTAAAATTCATATGTTTTCACAAATCTTTGGTAGAATTATTGTGTTTGGAAAAATTAGTAATTACTTAATTAAGTACCAAGTACCAATGGAATACAATTTTTAATCGAAAAATAAAGTACCTAACGTGAAACTCTTGGAGAAATCTCTTTACTAAAAAAAACAAAAATTATAATAGCCAAAACAAACTATAAAAACAAAACCCATTATTGTAAAGCTAATATACATTTAACGCTTAACAGTTAGCTCAGAAGCTAATCAAGTAACACTGAGATTAATTTAAAAATACAAATTAGGGTCAAATATAATGTGTGTCAATCGTCGCCGTGAACGAAATTAATTGGATAGTTTATCTAATTAACGCAGGCATTTTCATTTCGAGAGTGTTGCGTTTGTCGGTTTGTCAACATGAACACAAATCGTCCGTGCGATTTGCGGTGGTACCTACGTGTATGCTGCCTATACGGACTGGATAAAGATTGAGTGCCAAGTGGGCTTAAGATCTGAGGATAATGAGGACAAAGACCGATTTAAATAAATAAAAACTTATCATTTGAGTACTTAAAAATTGTATAAACTTAATAATAATATAATTTAATAAACATTTCATTTTTATTTTTTACAGGAGTTATTATGCATGGTAAATATAATTAAAACCAATTAAAAAAGTATTATATATAATATTAAAAAAATTCATAAAATCCCATTGGTTTCATTTTCCTCACTAATTAATTGCATCTAAAGTTGAGGCTAAACTCTTAAGTTATTATATTTTCAATTTCTTGTGATATATTTATAATAAGACAACTCTGTAGAAGCTCCCAACTTTTACAACTATACGTTGCTACAATGCTACGGTTAGCATTTTCTAACACATCAAAATTAATGAACTCTTGAAATATTGATGATGTATTATACTTTAACCGTAAGTAAATACATTTAAATAATCAATTATAACGTCGAAGTAAGACGAGGACACATTTTTCATTTATAAGTTCCCTTGTGGTTACAAATATAAAAGTAATAAACCTTCAAATAGAGGGGCTTGGAGCCCTGAAGATTTATTTAAATATAGACCATATTGTATTATTCGGTTTAGTGCTGTGTACTGTGTATACCGCCATACCATACCAAACGCAGTAAATTGTTCTCGATTTGACCTGCAATAATAATAATAATATACTAAACAATACATAATATTATTATGCTTAGCTGTAAGTTATTATATTTATTGTCCGATCAAAATAACTTGTTGTTATAACTTACTAATTGTAGGACTATAAATTAAATATATATTGTCTTAGAGACAGAGATCAAATATATAATAATACTCTTACTCTATACTACTACTATATAATACTCTTTACTCACGGAAATAAAATAATTTGACTGTAGGTATAAGTACCTACATTATATATTAAATAAATATACAAGGATTAAAAAAAATACATATAATTTATGGTTATTAAAGATAGAAATTCAAAAATATAAAGTATTATTTTAATACATACAGGTACTACTAAAATTAATTTAAAAGCAAAATAAAAATTTGGATTGTGGGGGGGGGGTTTGTTTCAAATTTTTTTTAATCAAAATATTTGTTAAATTTGGCGTTATAAATCTAGTTTAGCACCCACTCGAATTTTTGAATTTTTTTTCGGACACCTATTATTACAACCAGTTAAGAACGATGGTGTGAAAACTAATTTCCGGAAATCATTAGTTTTTATGGTATAACCTTACGAAATTAACGGTTTTAGGTGTTTGAAGCACACATACAACGCTTATGGTTTCCTGAGCTAATATTGGTAACAAATTAAAAATTTTTTTTTTGAAACCCAGGTAAATCAACGTTTTAAAAATGATGGTGCAAAAATAATTCTGACACCCACCTATGGGGGTTTTACATAAAAAGTTGAGGGATGTTTTCGATTTTAATTATCTTATAGCGATTGGAGCGATTGAGTGACCACGCCGGCCACCGTGTTGTGTATCTTACTAAATGGAAATTTCAAAAATTTCAATAAGCTATAACCTTAAAATAAGTCTTCCCATCGTTTTCAGCATGCTTAACTACATAGGTACTTTAAAGCAAAAACATTTTAAAAAGCGGTTGTTCCGTAAAACAGAAAAGTTCCAAACGCGAGGTAAAATATTGAGTTGTGCGAATGCGTAAAACACCAAAAATCGTGAACCTTGTAAGACTATAACTTAAACTAATGATTTTCAGCAATTAATTTTTGCAACATCGATCTTAATTCATTGTAATACATAAGTTTCCAAAAGAAAAATTATCGTAGGCACTATAAACTAGATTTGTTCCCAACAAATTATTATAATTATATGTAAGTGCATATAATATATTATATTCGGAAAGTGTCCATGTCGACCCCCCGACACCCCTCCCCATTAAGCACGCCCATGCATAATGTACGTAATTTTTCCCGTTTTGGTGATAACATTTGTATTTAAGACAAAATAATTTTAACGCTCCCGTTGTAGTGCGTAGTAACTTTTACACGAATCACTTTCCACTAGATATGAACCGATATGGCGTAGGCGGCACCTCTATAAAATTGAAAAGACCGAAGAAGCCGAACAATAAAACTACGGTCGTTGCGATCTTGACAACCCGGACTAACGATCTGGAAAAATATTCCGGATTTTTGAGTCTAGATCCCGGTGTTGGATGTGGTAAACTATGTAGTTGCAAGTCCAAAAACGCCGGTTCGGAAGTCGGAACTAAATCACGTCGTGAAATCTGCAAGATTTACACAAACGGCGTGTTCCTAAAGGTCAATTCAACACAGGCCAGAGAGACTTGTGTGACGCTACGAAAAATGTCTACTCGACGATCGAATGTATGACGAAAACGTGACTATTTCGTCAAAATGTGCATATGATTATAACGACTCGTCGTGCTACACTGAACACCGGAAGAAACATACTCAAGCTCACAAATTGTGTGTTCCCAACCAAAATTGGTAAAAGTGCTGTGTTACGGAAAAATCCGAAAACGGAAAGCCGAAGACTCGTTGGTCAGATTTCTGTTATAGGTTTAACAAAGTTGCAGCAGTCCGGAAAGAGTTTAATGTGTTTCGGCGACGGGTCGCTATAGGACAATATGATAAAAAATGTAAAACCGGCAGTGTGTTCGTTGTGCCGAGAGTTTTGCCGTTGGCGAGATCGATGCGATGTGATAGTAAAGTTGTGGACGAGTACATGACGACGCGGTGCTGTTCACGGTGAGCGGAACCTATGCTACTGCCTCCGAAACACACACGGGACAAGGACGGTCGCTAACGACACGATCGCAAAATTCAGTTTTGTCAAAAATGAGGGATCAATTGGAATCGAGGCGTCAACACAGCCGAAAATATCGTCATGGTTTCTAGAGGACTCGTTGGTTTTAGGAAAAAATATGATTAAAAAAAAAAATCATATAACATGGCGGTAATCGCCGAACGAGAGATTGTTTGTTCTGCCGACCAGAGGCTTATTTACGATTTTGGAGCCCTAGGTATACACATTTTGGTGCTTCTTTTTTTCTCAGTTTCCTTTATAAACTAATATATATATATTATAAACTTTTATAATCAAATAAAACTAATTATAATTTTAGATTTTAGTATTTTTTTCTGACAATATAATAAAATACATTACATGTAGAGATGTAAAAGATATTATAAGAAAGTTACGGGTTATCACTTATTATATTTATAAGTAATAACTAATATAATTTCTCAACAAATCCAATAAAATAAAAATAAATAATTTTTTTTTGTTATAACCTCTAGCGACGGCCCTTTTGAGGACTCAGAATTCAGCGCCCGGGGAAATTGCCCCCCGTCGCCCCTCTTAAATACGTCACTGTGACCGACACGTTTATTTGTATTTACCTACATCAATAAACGAATCTTAACTACTAGCTAGCATGCTGCTGTCACCATACTGGTAGGACATATTGTAACCCGTCATGCCGTATTGCCGTAAAGAGTTAAGGGGCCTCACTACCAAGTCTTTTTTTTGTCAAAAACTACTGTTTCTAATTCCAACGATACGTGTCGACAATTATCACGATTTTCATTCTGAAAAGATATTCTGATTTTCCGTAATATATACAAGGGAACGATCGAGCCACATTTTTAATTTTTGTAATTTAAATTGCAATAAAAATTGTAAAAAAATCAAAAAAAAATACAGAATTTCCAACTTAAATATTTAATTAACTAAATACAATTTTAAAAATGTGCCTCGATCGATCCCTCGTACATGTTGTAGAAAATAAGAATATTTTGTCAGAATGAAAATTGAGGTAATCGTTGCGACGTACTGTTGGAATTAGAATCGTATGTTTAAGTGAAAAATAAGCATTTTTTCATGATCACAATATTATTATATATTGACATGTGAGTGCGAGTGCGTGCGAGAACTACAATTGACCCGCATGGACGCCACACACACTAATAATCATTTACGACTAACGCATAGATTTCGGGTGGCGACGACGAGATTAGAAATTGCCTAAATGATTCTCCTTAAATCAATACCATTGCGAGGCCCCTTAAGATAATGCAAATATAATAGAGCATTTATCGTTTTTCAACGACATAATATTATTCACGTTACATCAATATTATTTATATTTTATTGTCGTCCGCAATTAAATGTATGATGGTCCTACATCAGAGCATAGGAAACTGTGTATTATTATAGTTAAAATAAATATAAATAATCAGTCATGACAATTAAATCTTTTTTCCATATATTACAATATTGTGGTTGGTATTTGTTAATTCCCGGTGGGCGAATACTTCATAACATTGCTCAGCCTGCAGCTGTCGCCGTGACGTACAAAGTACAAATAACCATCATAATTATATACAATATACGTGTATAATATATCTTATTTTTGGCCAGTGGCCAGCCCTAATCAGGGACTCTTTTGTGGTGAGTAAAGATAAAATATTCGCGTTCGACGAAGCTGTATATACTATATATGTATAATATTAGATACAATAGATCTCATCGTGGGGATGGAGAAATCTATACTTATACATAATATAATATGCGTGTAAATTTAGTGGCACACGTTACTATGTATATGTATAGGCAACGGGTTAGTGCAGAGTTGAGGTGTACGATAAAGGCCGTCCAGGAGGTAAAAGAAAAAATATGATTATTATGTCGACTTTGGCTCTGAGCCATTATTCTCCCCGGCCATGCTGCAGGCGGCTGTCGATTGATTTTCACTCACTGTGATGAGATTACAAATTCAAAGTATAGGTACAATAGATATTAGCTTCCTTTTTTTTAAGGGGGGAGTGCTAGAAATTCTCAAAATTCTATACTAAATATTTGTGAAAATTTAAAAGAAAAAATTATTTTTCAGTGGAAACGTACAAAATGTGACAAACGTCATATACTGGTCACGCCAACACCCATCAGTGGCATTTCAAAAAAGGTGGTACCTAAATGCTATCAATGTTCAAAAAAATCGGGTATGTGGGTATCACTCTGCTGTACAGTAGGTTACAACTTACAAGTGGGTCACTGTAATGGATGGTGTTAAATTTGAATTCAATAATATAATATCATTGTATACAAAAAACGATCCTGAGTGGAGACAGACGGTTTGTCAGCCTAGCTGGGATATTGCTTTTTATTATATATTTATATTGTTATTACTTAATTAGTGTAAATTAATGTGTAAATTTCAAGTACCTTCGGTTATTAGTAATCGGAACACAACATATAATAAGAAAATCATTGTATGAGAATTTGTTATAATTTAAGGATACAATGTCTAACTATAAACGCTCATAAAATTTTAATTCGACTCTTCGGTAAAGTTATTTTAGATTCTGATTGGAGCGATGATTGATTTTACAACGATGTGTGTTTTTTTTAATTTTTGTTTTTGTCATCACCTTTTGGGACAATACAACTGCTTTGATTTTCTTCAACAGTACCTTGGTGGATGCGAAAGTGAATCTAGTTGGTGCATTCAGGATGTCAACAATTAAAATTAACAATAGTTTTTAATAGCTCAGGGATAAACAATAGAAAAATTAAGGAAAAACGGCAATTTTTACACAAAATCGATTTTGGTTTTTAGTGTAACTCTAAATGTACCTACCTATAGGTACAATTTTCACTGAATGTTTATATTAGTATTTTTTTTTACACCATACAATTTTCAAAATATTTTGATTCGTTATGATCTGTTAACTCTTAACTGACATTTTCAGTCTCCAATTTTTTTAGTTTATTATTCTATAAATTTCAATAAAATGTTATTCGTTGGATCAAAAAGCTTGAAAGTTTAACACAAGGCTAAAAGTCATAGGCGTAACGGGGGGCTTGGGTGGGCTTCAGCCCCCCCAGAATTTCTAAAGCCCCTATACATATTATTTGTAATTTAGGTAAGTACTTATTAAAAAAATGCTAGGGCTGAAGCCCCCCCCCCCCAAATTTAAGGTCTGTTACGCATATGCTCCTAATACATTGTTACAATGATAGGCAATTAATTATGTAGCAAATTAAAGACAGAAAATCGCTGCTTCCAATCTCTTTAAGGGGAATTTTGTAGTACATTTTCAAAGCTTAGAGATAAGTAGACAATTTGAAACAATTTGGCAATTTTTGGGATTTTAATGAATTTTGTCATAATTTTAACTTGAGATGCTCATAAAAAAATATTGTGGATTTACGCTCAACTTTTTTTTTTGATTTCCACAAACTATAATTATTACAGTTATTCGGTTGTGGTGTTATCTTTCGGACAGTGGATTATACACAGATTTAAACATAAACGATTGGGAGGGGGGAGGAAGAGAGAACGACGTTTCCGCTAACCATGATGTCGAATTTCACTGTTTATTCGTACAAATATTTGTACTCAGCGACGAAATGCAATACACTCTGTTGATATATTAGTGTTTTGAGCACAACAATAACGTTTGCGGCAATCTTAAATATTTTACTGAATATTCTGTACGGATTATGTATATCTCGAAAATAACTGTCAAACATGAATTTATTGGTAACTATCGTCTATCGTCAAGGCGTCACTGCTGCTGCAGTTGCAGTCTTTTATTATTATTTTAATAATATTGTGTTGAACATAGGTATTATACACCAATATGGCGATTGGACTATGGTGTTATACACGTCAGTACGTCACACATAATATTATTATAATATGTTGTCAGAGGTGCAAGTGTGCAACGTGCATCATCCGCGGCACTGAACTCGTTGTTGAGGCAGTAGAGGTAAAGCTGTTATTTATTTATTTTTTGCCGTTTATTGCACGTAATTTGGATTAGGAAATTGTTTACGAAAATGCGCTTTGAGATAGGTATATCATTTGTATGGATAACTATTGTTCTCGGAATTCTATATCCCGGACGCCACGACACGTATATAGTAAATATATTATATTCGCTTGCTCTAGACTGATGCAAGGTATTTGTAAATTAAATCGCGGCGTAGATGCAGTGCTGCTGCTGCGATAAATGATGTAACAATAGTGCAACATATCCAAACGTATTATAATAATATTGTGATATTATTATTATAAAGTATTATATTATTTATTTTTATACTTAACTTTATCCATCAAAAAACGTTTGTTGTAGTCTTTATAGCCTATAGGTAAACAGGTGATCGTTATACATTCAAATTTCAAATTAATGAAAAATTACGGTCAACTGTCAACTTTTAAAAAAAAAAGTGGTCAAGTAGACAACTGTTCTGCTGAACAGTCTATATTGATTGTTCCTCATTAATGTATGGATGACTGTATGAGTGTAAATGATATACTTATTACATTTGGATTCAATGATGTGTACGGCTATGCCATACG